ATCTGGTGCTTTGCAGTGAAGCCGTCTCCAACGCCTGAAAGTGTGAAGGCTGTGTCGCTGAATGTGTCAGCGAGTTTAAAATAGTTCGACGACTGTAAAATTGTTTTGGAGCTGTTCTGTTTGATATTGACTAATATTGGATAAATAAAGTGTGCTTCGATACTCCAAGTGCTGTCGTCGTTATTCACTCCAAATCCACACGAACCCCGTACGAACGTGAAGGAAGAAAATAACGTAACAACTGGTGTCAGAAGAAAAAAGCAACAGTATGTTTTTCTCCAGAAATCTTTGCCAGGGAATACAGTAGTCATAACTAAACCCCATCACGAATTTTTATATATAATTCATTAAGTACTTAAAAGAATTTATTAACATGCTCACTAGTTTAAATCTCATACAAGTAATTAAATCAGCTAAAAGGAAATGTTGTTATTTTGAATATTTAAGGGCTATTTCTGAGTGAATGTAGGCAAGTAATCTTGCAAAAAAAGTGAACAAAAATATGTGCAAATGCAAACAGAATATCTAACACGTTGTAATAACTACTTATTAATTTTTCAGGGTGACAACTGAAGTAAGTGCAGGAACCAGACAGGAGAAGGGTTAAAAGAATCCTTTATTAAGCTCTTTAAAATTCACAATGCATCGACTTGACGCTAACAAACTACGCCTCTCTCGAGCGCAACTCAACTAACAATAACTAAAAATTCAGTAGACAGTACAGTAACAGTACAGTAAGTAACAGTACAGTGAAAACAGTAGACTTTTCCAACAGGGCTCTGATAATCCTGTTACTTAAAACCGCGTTGAAGTCTAGTGGCAGTAATATAATAGCAATTATGCCACTTTAACCAGAAATAGATGCAGAATCGGAGAGCTCACGCTACAAAGGTATAGTGCTTACCCACACTTTCTAACTTTAGTTTCTAGAACCTCAGTATTTAAACCTTTTCTCCAAATGGTAAAATTTGGATTCCTTCACGCCCGCTACCAAATTTAAATATTCCGGCATTGACAATTAGGAGAATGAAGGCTTATAGGAAAGAAGGCATAAAGTTAACTGGTTATTCAAAATAAATATAAATTCCTACAACGTGAATACCTATTTTACAAGTTTCAGATTAGACTAAGCATTTATATATGCAGACATACATACAAATAAGTTAGAAGTAAACTTTTTTTTGATAGAAAAAAATTCATTCCTATAGTAAGCTGCTGAAGATGTGACATCTATAGGGTGTCTCAATCCATGTCATACCATGATAGACCAGCATGTCACGTTTGGTAACGACCTTTTGAAACACGCTATATATGTCGTATACCGCTGAAATTTTCTTGCTCCCTACGTAACAGAACTCTGTGCTCCTATGTTTGCAATTATCAGTGATATTATCAATAAACATTGACCTATCTCAAAAGCAGTTATATCATCTCCATGTTTCCGATGTTATTCACAAATCGCAATGAAACAGGGAGATGAAAAATAAAATAAATCATTAATTGTTTCAATAAAAATTAGCAGCAGGGAAGAGTAAAAAATAGCGAAATAAGTTTCATTCAATAGTAGTAAATAAAATAGTTTCAGTTACGTCACATGTTTCATATGTAATAGCAATTATAAGAACAATTGTAAAGAGCACTTTAAAAACCTTTGGTGGCCAATTTTATTGATGGAATTTAAAAATATGAAATGTCCAAGAAATATCTTCTTATTAATAAGTGATTTTCTGAATGAAAGAAAAGTTTCCTTGTATGATGTTAATAATTGACATCACAGAAATTACCAAAGGGGTTGTCCTCCAAGGCTCAATATCTGGTCCACTTTTATGGAATATTATTGCTAATATAGCTTTAAACATAACCTTACTACAAAATGTTAGTATACAAGCTTATGCTGACGATTTTGTTTTGTTAGCCACGGGAAGTGGTCGCCTGTAAGTTTCGCCACTCAAGAATTGGAGAAGTAGTCTTTCCATGTTAAACTCAAATTTGATCCAAAGAAGAGCTTTCTTTTGGATATTGCCAAAACTAATACTAGATCAATACATCCCAGGTACAAACTGTATGGACAACCAATTAAAGTTTCTAAGACAATCAAATATTTGGGCATTGCGATCGATGGAAAACTCACTTTTATATCTCACCTAGATCAAATAAAGATCGAATGCAGCCATATTCTTAATAGACTTAGTAAAATGAATCTTCAAGGTAAAGTTCTTAAGAGTTTATATAAAAGAACTATTGAGAGAAAGATCTTGTATGCATGTGGCGCATGGTGGACTGGAACGGTCCGAATGCGTAACAAAATTTTGCAAATTCAAAGAATCGCTTTATTGGGGATTACTAAGTGTTTTAGAACTGTTTCCACAGTAGCTCTTCAGATTTTGGCTGGATGTCCTCCGATCGATATTTTAGCGGAAAAAGAATATACTATCTTTCAATTAAAAGCTGGTAATAAAACTGTCGATTGTTTCAGTGAGATCTTCTCAGCTAGAGATTTTAATTTTGAGAAAGGTTTAGACATTTATTCAGCTTTGTTAAAACGGTCGAATTGGCATGAAGGCCCCTCCAATATGACAGGCTACACGATTTTTACAGATGGATCTAAATTAAATGGTCATGTGGGGGAAGCCTTTTGTGTGTTCTCAGATAAGAAACCAAGCTTACAAAGGAAATGTAGACTTTCTGTCTATCAGGCAGAGTTAGTGGCCCTGCAAAAGGCCTTACATTGGTTTATTTCTAATTCTGCGATAGATCCTGTAGAAATGTATAGTGACTGCGAAAGTGCAATTGTTTAAATTACGGATGTTTGTCCAAATAACGATCTAATTAAACAGATAAAAGGCATGCTCATTTTTCTTAGCGCTTTAAGAGATATTAAACTCTTTTGGACGAAGAATCATACTGGTACCATTGGTAACGAGTTAGCAGATAGATTGCAGATAGCCAAATATCGATCAGATAATTGTTAGCAGATAGCCAAATAACGATCTAATTAAACAGATAAAAGACATGCTCATTTTTCTAGCGCTTTAAGAGATATTAAACTCTTTTGGACGAAGAATCATACTGGTACCATTGGTAACGAGTTAGCAGATAGATTGCAGATAGCCAAATATCGATCAGATAATTGTTAGCAGATAGCCAAATAACGATCTAATTAAACAGATAAAAGACATGCTCATTTTTCTTAGCGCTTTAAGAGATATTAAACTCTTTTGGACGAAGAATCATACTGGTACCATTGGTAACGAGTTAGCAGATAGATTGCAGATAGCCAAATATCGATCAGATAATTGTTAGCAGATAGCCAAATAACGATCTAATTAAACAGATAAAAGACATGCATTTTTCTTAGCGCTTTAAGAGATATTAAACTCTTTTGGACGAAGAATCATACTGGTACCATTGGTAACGAATTAGCAGATTAGATAAAATATCGATCAGATAATTGTTAGCAGATAGCCAAATAACGATCTAATTAAACAGATAAAAGACATGCTCATTTTTTTTTAGCGCTTTAAGAGATATTAAACTCTTTTGGACGAAGAATCATACTGGTACCATTGGTAACGAGTTAGCAGATAGATTGGCAAAGGCTGCCACTGAAAATCAAATTATTGATTTTGAAGAAAAAGACCTTTGAAATCCTTGTTGAAAAGTTTGACTCTATGGCAAGCAAAGTGGAACGACCCAGATTCTAAAGGAAGATTCACATATAATTTAATCTCAACTGTAACTGAGAGAATATGCCTAAGTGACAGCTATCTAAAGCAAGCTTTAACTAATCACGGACACTTTCCACTTTTATTATAATAGGTTTTCGATAAAAAATTGTGCCTGTCCATGTGGCATGAGAACTGTTGATATTGAGCATCTGTTGCTTAGATGCTCTTCCATGAAAAATATTGTTCTAAGATTTATTCCAGATATTGCTAAATTTAATACTCTAAAGGATCTAAGTAAAAATACAGTGACTAAGTTGAAATTGACAAATTTCATAAAATATGTACCTGTAAATGAAATGAATTTATATATTGATTGTGTTTAAAATTTCCCTGTCTGTTTTAAGGAAAACTAGGATGTTTTATGATATTCTGTTATTTTATTTCTTTGTATATGTACGTAACATATTTCATGCATGTAAGTAACATGTGTTATATTTTACAAAGTATGTAACAATGTGCTTTTGTTGGTGTAGCTGGTAAATCTCACGAGCTCCTAGATTTAGTTCATATTTTAGTTATTTATTCTATTTAAAGTTATTTCAGGTAGTATGGTGGTAGTTCTACTGCTTAATGGGTCTGATTTAGACCTTGTTTTAGATCTCAATGTTTCTTTAATTAAATAGCTTCACTAAGCCCTGTTAAGCCTCTAATGGCGGTACAGGAAGTTCGACCAGTCATACGTTTCATATACGTCATACGTCACATGTCATACAAATTTGGGCCAACTTCCTAGAAATCTATCTGGCATTTTGTCCTACCAGAAAATCCTTGCATATTAATAAATTACCTACAGTTGTAAGTACTGCTGTTCCTTCTAATTGCCTTTGGAAACAACTGGAGTCCTGAGTAGGAACAGGAAGCTTACTTGAAGCTATGTTCATGCGTGTGTAGAAGATACAACAAAGGTAAGGAGGGTTAAAATTACCCTTTATTTCTCACATCGTACAGCCGTTTCCACACTTCGGGATACAGAGACCAGCACTTATGGTCTAAAACGTAGAAAATAAGAAATAAAACTAAATAAACTTAAAACGTTAGTAAAACTTAAAACCCTTACACAGGCTAAATGTACAACAATTATGATTATATCCATAAGCATTCTCTATCACTAACGATAAAAATGTTAAGGAATATGTGCATAAGAATTTCGCATTCATTATTAATATTTGTTACATACAGAATATGACTCTCAAAATCATAAAAATTAAGTATCTCAATGTAAAAGGTGGTTATAGGTAATTTAATCTTATCATGAAAGAAGAGTCAACGCACCCCGAAATTGATGTAAGCTGCTAACACCGATCCTGCAATGGTGGCAAATCCTCCCGTCATGACGGCATGAATTTCAGATTTGGTCATCAGTGGCAGATAAGGCCGAATCAGGAGTGGAGCTTCTGTCTGTAAATGAAAGGAAATTAACAGTCGGACGAAACGTTAAAGGATAACGCAAAAATTATAGCTCAGGTAATTACTTTGCTTTTTTATTACAAAAATTTTTTTTAATAAATAACTATTTTTTATTCGACAGTCACAGAAGATATCCTTCTCTCTAATTCTTTGGAGCAAGTGTCATACTCCAATTTCTATTAAACTTTAAACTAGAGACGAAAAAAAAAATAATTTTTAAATACTAAGACGATCGAGAAGTAATACGCTTTGGTAAAGAAGTACAACCTTGCACCATGTTTTCCCATATTTCGATTCTACGACTCCAATTATGCCTAGATATTAAATTTTGTAATTTTTGGTGAGAAATTTATGGAGAAATTCAAAAATTTATCTTGGCATATTTTTTCAGTTTTCGCCAAGAATAATTTATTTGGCGAACTTCTTAATTTTATAGTAACCTATTTTTATAGGTTTTATAGCAACTTATTTTTCTTTCCTTTTTTTTCACCGTACACGAGAGGAAAAAGGTCATCGTTTATACTTTCAAATAATTTTAACCAAGTACGTAAACCATATTTGGCGTTATTATCTCTTATAAACAAATATACCGACTTTCAAAACGCACCAATATAAAAATTCACGTATATCTTAGCAAATTTTGAATAAAAAACATTTATTTTTGCAGGTATCCTTAGAAATACATCTACTTTAAGATAATGGTAATTTTACAGGTTGTAATTCAAAATGTTTTTCGAAAGATTAAAAAAAAAAATTATTTAAAAATACGCATTTAAAAAATAAATCATAAAAAATTGGCGGAACCTAAATTTCGAAATGTGAAAGATAGAATCGAATAAGTTTAAAAAAAATAGGGATATTAAAAAATCTACACCAAATTCGATTAATATGGAGGAGCTAAAAATTTGAGAGCTAATGTTTTAAAAACTACTCTTGCGAGTTTTACAAAACTTGGCATTTTGGCATAATTTGAGTCGTAGAATCGAAATATGGAAAACAATTGTCATGTCATTTCAGAAAAAGTCCGATTTTGTGTTAAAATATCTGTATTAGAACAATGCTATATATAAATCTAATACATATCCTAAGTCGCACTTTTGAGACATGAAAAACACAAGCTGAATTTCGTCAATCGGCCCAGTAGAAAGGAGTACATAGAAATAACTATCTCAATTTTTTTGGGGGGGGGAGGGGTGCGAGGTCCACATGGCAGGAATTGGCATGGTCGGCTTTTTGCCGCAGTGTGCAAACTTTGCAAATTCTAAAGTCTAACCCCCCCGGTTTTTTCCTCAGTTTTAAAAGTTCTGCACCGGCTCTAGCGCCGGTCCTGGATATTGGTACCAGCGACAGTGATACTGGTAGTGCAGATAACCACTCTAGTGATATCGACATTGACTGTGAATAAAAAGTACTAACATGTCCGTTTTGACTGATAATAAATCATTTATCTCAATGTATTGTGAGTACTGTTTTCATGTTAGCTACTTTCAGACTTATAAAACGAAAGATGTATTATAGATGCAGATTATCTGATGCGGCTTCTCCTCAAGAGTTTTTTTTTTTTTTTTTTTCTTTCTTTAATGTGAGGTAAAATTTAAGGATATAGTTTATACCCGACAGAATACGGTAAGTTTAACAAACGATTAAAACTGAATTTTAAGCAACGATTGAAATGAAATAATTTATTCACACCTCTGATAGTACTAAAAAAAATAATTCTCAGTAATACAGAAGATCGTTTGGAACTATTCTTATATGTGCCCTCAGGTCGCCAAATGCGGCGACAAATTTCTGGCCATCCACGCCGCCACATTACTACCTAAATGTTTTTAAGCTATAATCCGAAGCAGAAGCAAAAAATTTAGATAGAAAAAACGTAAAGTTTCTAACTAAAAATATTCGACAAGAATCCATCTACACAGTGATATGTTTTAAGTTAAAATGAAAATCACAGAATTGCACAATCTAAGCAGCGAAGGAATCTACGAACTACACACACCTAGCTTAAATAAATTAACATAACAACAACAAATTTCAAAGAGTACCATGTACAAAGCTTTCTGTTTAAACTTAAAAAAACATCTACGAATTGCACAATCTAGGCAGAGAAGGAATCTACGAACTACGCACACCTCGCTTTAATAAATGAACATAACAACAATAAATTTCAAGAATACCGTAAATTCAGCGTTCTGTTTAAACTTTAAAAAACATCTACGAACTGCACAATATAGGCATTGCGCACTAATCAACAAAATAAACTAAAACAACTAAAATAAATTTCAAATTCAAAAAATCAACAATAACGGCAGAAATTCATACTAAAAAAACAATAAACATAACATTCTACTAAATAAGATCAAGAATTAAAAAAAAAAAAAAAAAAAAAAAAAAAAAAAAAAAGCACTTGTCATGAATGAATGCTTCTTCGAACTTCCAATTTCAAACATCACCAGAACAATTTCACCACAAATTTGTTCAAAGCATCTTCTCCCGTTTCAGAACAACAATGGAAAAATATTATAAACTAAATAAAACTCAAAATCGCATTTCCGATTATAAGTCGGCAACGTCGCTTTAGCACGCCGTCACATAATCTCTGTCGTATTTATATGACAGCCAGATTCACTATCCACAATATTGATACTATGTTTCACAAATAAATGTTCAAACCCTTTTCTACTAAATACTTGTAGAATTTCCAACCACCCGTAAAAATAGTTGTACCAGGCACGCGACTAAAATTTTTGCCAACACTTCATAAATCGCTTAATTACCACACGAACCAACTAGCAAATCCGAGTTTCCACGTAAAAAGGGTTGCCATAGAAATCAACATCGCCCACAAAACCATCGGAGAACATGACATGCAATCGCGCCAAAAACCAGGGCACAACACATATCGCCGCATTTGGCAACCTTAGGGCGCATATACGAGTAAAGCTGATCGTTTTTTTAAATAAAACAGACTTATAAAATTCACTTTTAATTTTATTCTGTTTACAAAGTAAAGCGAAAAACTTTAGAATTATTTTTAAAATTAGACGTCGAACATTAAGCAATGCACAGAGAATCGTTGAAATTCGACTTGAAAAATGCTACTTGTGGATAAAAATACTGACCATGCCTAGGAAGATGTTGGCTGCTGCATTCATGGACTCGCAGGCAGTAGTTCCTATAGTATGCTGAAGCAACCAGCCCACTTTCATCACCAACACCTGCATTATGCCATAGTAGTACAGCAAAGACACAATGAAGCTGAAGAAGATTATCACGCTCAGCACCTAGGGGAAAAAAGATATTAGAAATGTACTGTTTTTGAAAACCTGCACGAGAATTGAGAGCTGATTAATTTAGATATAACTACCCATTTTCAACAAGCTTTAATTGATTTGACGTATTTCAAGTTACCGAAAGCTAATCTTACCATTATTTGTTCCAGAACTTATATATTTTTAAATCCAGCTTCTCAAAGTGATGGTTTATAATGCATCTCTCATTTTCGCAATTAACATAAACACTGTTGTCACTTGCAACGCCATCTGCCGGCTAAATTATAAAGCAGAAATTGACGTGATTTTATTCTGAAATGTTTCCAGCTCAGATGATCGGATATAAGTTGAATCTCGATGAAGACAAACCGGCTCCAAGGCGCAACGCTTTTTAAGAGGGTTCACCGGCTACATTCTTTATTTTTATGAAGAAAAAGACACAAGATTAAGAGAATTTTAAAATTGTTTTGAGCCCTCTCAGTCCTTCGGTCTTAATTCGAGTATCGTATGACTAAGCAATAATCAGGTCCTGGACATAAGTGGCAAATGAAAGACTCTTCGGTCTGGAAATATCCCACGAAAATATATCAAAACTGTATTTCTCTAAAATAATAAATCTGTTAGTCCCTCCCTTTCCAGATCTAAAATTCTAATTCTTCACCGTCCTTAAAATCACTGCCATTGCTTTCATACTTTCCTATAAGCAATTCGTTTTCTGTTTAAACATAGTATTATTACATTTCAGTAATCGAAAGTAATAAATACTATTACTAAGGTTTCAATAGTCACTTTACCACCGGAAGATAAAAAGATAAATGGAGATAAAAAGAATTTGTTTAAATGTCGTATAAATGTGTAAAATATGCTCACTATTTTAAATTCACTTTTCTTAATTATATTACAAATCTTATTGTCTCTTATTCTTTACACAGACGTGAAATATCTCAAATTTCATATAAGGAAGACATTCAAAATTGGGCAGGCTCTGTTATTTTACCTTCTGTTCTCTTTTGTTGTTATTTAAATCCATAACATAATCCTATTACTCCAGTTCACTTTCTTTACAGGTCATAAGGCAGTTCTTATTAAAAGTATCCTCGATTATAGAAACATATCTTCGACAGCAACATTAATTGAGCATCCTTGAACTAATTTATGCGTTACCTTTAACATGCAGAAATCTATAATTGCTACAAAGGTCACCGCTGGGTTTTCCATTGTCAAATAATTGGCTATTCCCCACTGAGAGAGAACTCATGTTAAAAACCTTGTTTTTAAATTTAATTCTTACAAATTTACTCCTTTCGTTGAAAGACAACGTATTATTACTAGAATATCTATATTTTTTAAATAAAAAATAGACGTGCTTTTTTATACATGATATATTGGAAACGATGGAGAAAATAAATCAGGAAATTTAAATCTTGCAAAATTTGTAGTATTTGAGTTATAAGATATTTTCCTCGTTTTCTTAGCGTGCCTTCGTGGTGTAGTGGTCTGCATGCTGGACACATATTCCAGAGGACCGTGGTTCGATTCCCGGAGAAGGCATTACAAATTTTTCATCTTTCTTGCGTCTCGAAAAAATCCTAATACCTCTACAGTGGCACCCGAACTAAAAGGGTGGTGGATGATGATTCTCCCCACCCAGGAGTTGGCGAATGGGTCCGCTAAAAACCCCAGTCGCCCTTTAAAAGGGGAAGTATATAAAGTATTTCTCCCGCTTTCTTAGCCTGCCTTCGTGGTGTAATCGTCTGCATGCTGGGCGCAGACCACTACACCACGAACAAGTATTCCATAGGCCCGTGGTTCGATTCCCGGCGAAAGGCGTTGCAAATTTTTCATCTTTCCTACTTCTCGAAAAAATCGTAATGTCTCTACAGAGTAATATGTCAGAACAGTTATTATTTAGAATACAAAATAACTACGAAAAATTAGACATTCAAAAAATGTATCAGACATGTCGCTATGAACTTCTACCTTTGCACCAACAACGATTATGCTAATGAAACGACTGTTTATCGAAACTAGTTGTTATGTGCGCTGCGTGGACATCAAATTATTTAGTTGCACTCATAAAGAGGTTATCACACCTAGCTTCAATCCCTGCTAGACGAGACTTTTCTGAAAACGAGATTCTGGTAGCACTGGTTTAAACGGGAGGATTGCTAGAAAAAAAGAGCACCGCTGGAAGCGAAATCCCGCCTAGCTACGGAAACGATGTACCGGCTACGCAGGACTTTTTGACACTTCGGCGAAAATTTTCGGCTGGAGCTCTGTCCCGCGTAGAGATCAACCAATCAGACGACAGTTCTGCTTCTGAAGGATCACGTGATCCCAATCTGAGCAATGATCGATTACTGTTTGGCGTTCAATTCTTTGCAGTAATTTAAAATGGTAACCTAGCTATGCGGGTTTCCTGGAAATGTGCGGGTCCTGAGAATTGCCCCTTTCGACGTCCAGTACTTCGTAGCGGAAACATAATGCGGTCGGAATATAAAGGGAAACTACTAATACCCCCCCCCTCCGTACTAAGTAGTTTCACGAAACATTGCTTAAAAATCAAAGGTAAGGAGAGTTAATGTTTTCGAAAAGAAGCAAGCTGTAATATGATATTTTTGTACATCTTCCGACCTACTTAGGTTAGTTTTAATCTTAACACATTTAATTTAAAATTTCTTGAAATAAATAAGACACTCGATTTCAGCTGAAAGACAATTGAAGTCTGATTAATACTAACTAGCGCTCATTTATGCCCTCGGATTCCAGTCGTTGTTAAAACAAATTTTAATAAAACTACAGTAAATTATTTTACATCTTATTCCTAGATAATCCCTACATATAGCGGAAGCTCTCACGGCGACATCTTCCTGAGCCGACAATCTCTAAAAGCGAATAGCATTTCAGAGAACATAAATATATAAAGGTTGTAAACTCAAACGATAATCCTGATCTGAAAAGCGACCACCAGCATAAAAAGACCAAAATCGTCTGAAGTTGCGGATGGTCATCTAAAGGAGATTTCATGGTATAGACGTAAACAGACTACAGAAGTAAATTATTTATTAACTTTCAAAAATGAAATAAAATAATTGCTCCTGAAAATAGAAAATTAGTCTTTCAGCTTGTAAGAATTATATTAATTTTATTAACAGTTAAATTTTAAGTTAAATTTCCTTTCCTGTCAAATTCTTAACTTCAACTTACTACTTCCGGCCAGAATGTAGTTTTGGAATTTTTCTGAATACTTAATGAGGAGGAGCGGTATTTAAACCGCGAAGTTACTTGCAGAGTTAGAGAAAACCACAGTTTCTGATTTACGCGCGTCTGCCTTTTGGCTACTCTCTCTCTCAAAGCTGTTATTACGTTCAGCCGTACTCAGGCCCTTGAAGTGAAATAGTAGTGAAATAGCGTTAAGGGTCCAGCTCGTTTAGAATCTTGATAGCTTCGGCTATATTTCTTTAGTTAATCTTAGTCTCTTAAGTTCAAGCCCAAGTGTCGGCTTTGATTGCACACTCCAAGACGGAGTTTTGGAGTTTAATGTTAAATCTTATTGGAATAATAAAGGGTTAGTTACCCTTCCATCTTGTTGTTTCTTGTCATACGAACTTAAGCGATTATTCGCTAACTAGTTCTTAAGGTTCGTCACTTTCTACAGTAAATGAGAACTATGCATTTATAAAAAAGATGTTTCTTTTTGTTATTGCTTGTTTTGCGTAAATTATATTCATTATAACAGCAGAACCAGAAAAATACCAAATATCATTTTCCAATAACACAATCCGGGGTTTAAGGCATAACATTCGTGCAGGACTTCCGTCGAGTATTTCCTAGTTTTTTGTGACAGAAAACACAAATATAACATTTTCGTGGAATATTTGTTACAAACATATTTCCTAATTTTGGAGACATGGCGTTCAGATTCTGGAGACGTTTTGTGAAGTTTACGTTTTGTGAAGCAAAAGCGACGATCAGAAGTCGCATAACATGGCCTGCTCTGGAGCTCGGTGAGAGTATATGAACTGATATAATTTAGGTTCCTTAATAACATTATAAGATTTCTGTAATTTTAAATGAATTTAGGGTATACCTTGAAAGCGAAAATGGCAGGTTGCAGAGCGGCATCTGTCAGGGATCCAGTGACCAGGTATCCAAAGACGAAAGAAGATCCTTTGTCTGTGATGTCCAGAAAACCTTTAACTTTGTCTCCCAAACAGCGAAAAATATCCTTCCCCACACTCCATCGCAAAATCAGAAGCCCGATGCAGAATTGTACAAAAATGCCCCATAGTAGACGGCGCCAAATAATCTAAAATACGTAGAATACATTCAATTATATTTCAAAGTGACCAAACAAAAGTTTCGAAATAATATGAAATGACAAGAGGAAATCGCATGATAATAATCAGGAAATGAAAAGTTGAGACTGGTAGCAATTTCTAACCCATAATGAAAATCTGATTACGCACTTGCCTAACTTTTGTTTCCTGAAAACGATTTGGGATATAAACTTGGAACGAACTTGGATTATGAAACGTTCTCGCAAACTTCTTTGTAGGTTAGAGAAAATATCATAATTTCAACTACTGAGAATAATTAAAAGTCATTTATAGAAAGCCTACCGTCTGATTCGAAAGATTGCGATGTCCAAAATGCATTCTTGCTCTTTTCAAATTTAGCAAAATATTTTAATGCTGAATACGTATGATATGCAACACAAAGAAAAAACAGTTTACAATAATATTCGTTGAAACGTAAAAAAAATGGCAATGATATGAATAACTCAGTCCTCTTGTAGGGTTTATATTTATTTTAACTAACATTTATTTTAAGTTTAAACTATCTTTCCTGTCAAGCCTTACTTATCCCTGGAACTGCCAATGCCAGAGTATGTAAATTAGTAGAACGCGCAAGGATTCAAATTATCAGCGGAAGTATTCTGAGTTAATAGAAAGGAAACGAGTTCGAGATGTGCTGTTCTTACTTCACGAGCGCGGAGGTAGTTAGCCAGAATTGAAGAACCCCGCGTTTCGGCCTGTGTGCTTGCCTCGGAATTGTTAATCGTTCAAAGTGATATTCAAAGTTAGTGAATTAGCAGCGGTATTGTAAAACGCGGTGAGGTTAGTTACTTTTAGAGAGCCTCGTAGTTAGTTCTTGTTATATTTCTTTTAGGTTCTTATTTTTATTTTACCGCGGGTCGGTGGTTTGTGAGCGTCAGAGCACGCAATTGTAAACTTCTAAGTTGAATAAAAAGGGACTTAAACCCTTAGCAAGACTCTGTCTATTTTCCAGTTTCAACAGTCACCTCTTGGTTGCGTGCAGGTTGGAGGCGCGCAACTCTACACTCTTTAAAATGCAAAGTAATAGATCTTCGTTGTCATCAAATAAACTTACATCCTTTCCGTTAAAATGTGAAATGCAGCTAAAAAGGGGGGAAAAGGAAAAATGCATATGCTGATCCTAAAGTACAGAATTTCGAAGTCATACTGAGGTATTATTTATTATGAGATGGAAAATCGGCAGGAGGTGAAAATCTATAGAACTGATGCATCTATAGAACTATAGCACAGGAAACACCCTTAACTGTACAATGGAATAAATGTTAATAAATCCTGTTGCCATCGGAAAGCATCAAAATATTACAGAAAATTATTTTTAAATGCCTCATTTTCTCTATTTTCTAAGCAATGTAATGTTATAACTTGGAAGATAAATGTAAGACCTTGAGTGTTGTAGATAGACAACAACTCATTTTTTTTTTTTTTTTTTTTTTTTTTTTTTTTTTTTTTTTGCTTCCGATGGGACGAAAGCAAAACGATGCAAATAATACTTGACGAAATTATGAAATCACCTACCCCGAATAGTTAAGTTTCCTTAACCCTTTAACTGTCAAGTTATTTTGATGATTTGGGTACACAAATTGTCAAATTTTTTTATTGCAAAAACCAAATGTTTAGTACAAATTAAAATATACTTAAGTAGTTAAAAATTGATATTTTGACGTACATGGGTAAAATTTTTAAAGTTTTGTAGCCACTGCATATTTTCTTTGAGGCAGCTGTCACTCAACATGGCAGTTGCAAAGTTCGAGTCTAGGGAGCAATTATTTCTAAAAATAAAAAAAAAATTAACTATTTTCTAAAAAAATAAATATAAGTGAATACCTATTAGTAGTTCAGTAATTCAGTCTTATGTGGTACAACTGGAAACACTTTCCAAGCACAAAACCAACTTCCACGATCACTACACCAGAATCGTGATTCCTTCCTTATCTTTTCCCCATTTTTATCCTTTTTCGAACAACACAATTTGCACTGTCTTTAGGTTCACGTTTCGCAGGAATAGGAGGAAAATGGGATATAAAATGTCGTTCAGTAAGACGGGCAGGGTTATCTATTGTAGGTGGTCTGCCAACATTCTTTGTCCAGAATCTGCATCATCATATTTATGTAAAAGCTCTTCTACAAACTTGGATTCGAAATTCTAAAAATGTAATACGTTTCCCAACTACATTTTTATAGAGCAAATATGAGTTTCCAGAGTACCTTGTCTAGTAAATGTAAAAATATCTTTTTATAATATTTTATCTGACGTTTTCGGATTGTTGGATGAAAGGATATTTCCTGATCACAGCGATCTACACCACCCATAGTTTAGACCGTAATTAGAAACAATCTTCGGCTTTGAGTATATCTCCATTTTTTATTTTTGAGGCTGACCATGGAAGTATCATGAATACTGCTCATCAAACACACATCCTTCATCCTCGGTTGAAGAATCTAAATCATCTATATAACGTTTCAAAGAACTGGACGCTATTTTATAACAAAAAAGATCCCATGCAACCTTGAACCAAATAAACTCTAACCTTTGAAATCTTCAGTAAAGTGCTGTCATCTATTGAACTGAGCGCACATTAACTTTTCCCGAGATACAGTCGGGTTTGACAAAGAGATGAAGCCGAAATAAACGTCTCCCGATATATGTTCGGGTATAACAATACGATGCACTCAAAAAAAAAAAAAAAAAAAAAAAAATTACCCCGAGTATTACTCGGGCGTGACATTTTCGAACACTAGTGCATCTCGGGCATGACAGTTAAAAGGTTAAGGTATCCATGGGAACATGTTAAAAAGGCCAATTTTGGCAAAAAATGGCAATTTTCTTTTATTCGTTCATTGAATAAACTGTTTATTTAGCTTTCCAAAACGGGGTCTGCTTTCGTTTCTACATTAATTAGAAACCGAGATATTAATGATTTCATAAAGACGCAAAAAAACCGGAAATGGGTATTTAAATCACAGAAAGTGCGCATTCAAAGGGTTGAAAAGAAAAGCTAGAAATGGCACATAAATAATTTGTTATCTTTTGAAATGTAATGTAACGACTTTTAAAGAGAGAGAATGAATAGAATCTTATCTGTAATCTGTGCAGCTACATGAAATTATTTTATGTCCTCGCTAGCATACGAGTTTGATTTAATTCGACACATTGCGTACTGCAGTTAGATTTATCTCAGTCTTTGATTATTTTTAAAAACATTCGAGTTAAAAGTAAAAAAAAAAATCGGAGCCATGTTTGTAAACGAAAATGCGTAAGGAACAAATTTATCAAACGTGTTGCGAAGGAAATAGAGAATAATATTAATAAAGCAATTTCCATCGAATGAACTAAAACTAAAATATTTCTCATCGGCAGGAGATGTTTTTGAAAGTGATTTGTGACGTAAATATTTATATTTAAGTAGTGTCACCAAATCTAAACGCGTAAGTCATATTCAGAAGCCCCGTTCCAGAGTTAGAAAATTGAAGAGAAAACAAAAATATCTTGATGGAGGGGTCAGCGTCGCTCACTAATGATGTCTTTATTGACAAACTTCAAAATGGAGTTAGAATCAGGAACAATGGATGGAAAGTGTTGCCAAGACTTCAAGACGCCAAATCCGTCAATCAACTTCTTAACAAAACCTAAACAATCTCTATGCCTTCTTTCTAATAAATACGAGGGCATTTCGAAAAGTAAAGATACACCGTACGCCAGAGGAAAAGAAAAGTTTTGGTGAGCAATTGGCAAAACAGTGTAACCTTGAAGTTAGCTTTCTCCTAGCGGTCGTTTCGGATTTCAACGTTGAATTGGTTGGAGTAGGTCCTGTTTCAATGGCTGCCCGTCAGAATTCCGCCAAATGCGAAGGGCGCGCCGTCACACGTTTTCTTCATACAAAGGTCAGCGACCGGCGGATATTCACAAAAGAAATTGTTCTGTTTATGGGAACATTATGAATCGACAAAAATGTACGAATGGTGTCGTCATTTCTCTGAAGGTAGGACCGATGTTATAACGACAAAGAAAGGTCGGCCCTTGTGATCTCTTGCCCGTCTTCAGAGAACAGAGAAAGCAATTCGTGCAAATAGACGTCTCAAATTGAAAGAATGGCATCAGATCATACCGGAAGTATCAATGACAACTTTATTAAGTTGTGACTGTCAAGTTAGGGTACAGGAAATTGTGTACGCGCTGGTTTCCAACAGGCGGCAACCTTCTATGAGTGTGGGATATAAAAGCTTGTACACCGGCTTGACAAATGTTTGGATAATGGGGGTGATTATGTCGAAAAATAATAAATAGTCCATTAATAAGATGTAACTGACGTTTTCTAAATAAATGTTTTTTTTTTTTTTTTTTTTTTAAGGAATGCGAGCCATCGTATCTTTACTTTTCGAAATTCCCTCGTATTTCTCATATACGAACTTAAGAACTTATACATAGGGCTAAGCCGCTGATATATTCGAAGAAGTAATCTCCAAAAAATTCGTATGAGTTTTATTATGTTACTATTTATCACAGAAAAAAAAAAAAATCTCATTTTTCATTTTTACTTACGATGTAAATCTGAATTCAATCGCTGTCATGTAATTGTTTCATTTTTAACAATTTTCTTGTTTCAAAAAAACAAATGAAATTTCCCACGATTAAAGTACCAAACCGAAAAAGTTTAAATTTTAAATTGATCAGTAAAAACAGGTTTAAAATATTATTTCATTTCTTTTCATCGCCCAAGTGCCCTCTGTCCCTATCATAATATGTTTCATTTATAAGGTATTTTTCTCCCGCCTTCCTAGCGTGGCTTCGTGGTGTTGTGGCCAGCACACTGAGACGGTATTTCAGAGGTCCGTGGTTCGATTCCCGGTGAAGGTGCTTGCTAAATTTTTCACCTCTCTTGCTTCGAAATAATCTAATGACTCTACAAATACAAATGGCGTCCGAACTAAAAGGGTGTTGAATGATGATTCTCCTCAGCCAAGATTTGGCGATTGAGTCCCCTAAAAACCCCAATCGCCTTTAAAAAAGGGGAGTATATAAGGTATTTCTCCCGCCTTCCTAGCGTGGCTTCGTGGTGTAGTGGTCAGCACACTGAGGCAGTTTTTCAGAGATCCGTGGTTCGATTCCTGGCGAAGGCGACTGCTAATTTTTCATCTCTCTAGCTCCGAAATAACCTAATGACTCTACACATTTAATTAAAATATGGTTTACTCATTCATCTTTCCTGTGATTTTTATTCAGTCGTTGTTTGATTAAACTATGATTTTTTGTTAACCGTGAACATCATTCCTGATACTACTTAGATAATTGGAGATGTACTGCATCAGTAAACTCATTATTAACTTGATTTTTACACAGGAATTTATTATTGAAATGAAGGAAGAAGAAGCCTGAAAAGAAAGTAAGGAAAAACTGAAACTACTAATTTTAAAAATTAAAATAATAATTAAGAAATTACTCACTTTCCTACGATGCTTCGAGAACACATACCCCAGGAATATGAACACCGTCAGACCGGCAGCCGAGACGAGACGGTATCTGTCGTCATAGGTGTCCAGAATGAGAAATATTATCACTGCTCCCCAAAGAGTGCTCCAAACGACTCTAAAAGATACAGATTTCATAAAGCTTTTAGATCGGTAATCTTCCATCGGTACAGTGAACTTTAATCCCCATGTTTCATCATAGACTACAAACATATAACATACAAGTAGTACAGAAAATGGCCTTTGGAATGCGGAATTAACAGATTTTATGCATCCGTTTTAGCAATAAAATATCTTTCATAACCGCAGTTTCATCTCAAAAACATGACTTATTTATTCAAGTTCATACGGTTGCATGTAACGATAGCCTTCGTCTTTTGCAAACGATAATCTTTCAAATAACTTCAGCCAATTATTCTCAAAATTGGACAATTTGGAATATTAAAAACTTGTACGCTTATGTGAGATTTAATCTCTATTTCGACTTAGAAAGAATCATTTCGCAGGACTGTTGCTTTCCACTGCAGAATACAAAAAGAGAGACAAAATAGAAATAAGAAATCAGATGCGTACGCCACGACTTTTGTACGGAATATTAAATTATACGAATTTTTTTGCTGCATTTCATTTAAATTTATTTCCTCGAATTTCATTAGAGATGGATTTCGCTTTTAATTAATTGTTCTCACTTCGCGGTAAGGCAAAAATGCATAAAACCACAAAATATCTTCATTAAAAATTGCAAAATAGAGAAAAACATAAAACACTAAATACAGTTAAAACAATTTTTACAATTAAAATTAAGAGTTTCTCCGCAAAAGCAAGTCATTCGGCCAGCAGGCAACAAGGCAGATTTTTCGGTGCATAAAATTGAAAGTTTACTTTTGGTTCCACTCGGCGAAAAACATTGAAGGTTCAGAAACTGACTTAATTCATTATTCTGCTAAGTTAATGTAAACAAATATGGCTGCTATGGTAAACAAAAATTAGGCTTAGCCGCACTTAAAAACTTTTAAATTGTTGATAATTTTACAACTATCGCATGCAGATTAGCGGAAGATAAGAATAACTTAATTCAATCATCTTTAAAGCAAAAAATCCACAGTTTGCCAACATATAGGAATAAAAATTATTGAGCCGAATAACAAAGTGAGTGTATACATATAAAGATTTGGAGCGGCCGACTCCACCAAATAGGGATGTGCACAGCTTACGTTATAGCAGTCATATATACAAAATTTCATCGTTCTGAGGCTACTCTCGTTTTTGAGTTATGCGAGATACATACATACATATGTACGTACGTACAGACGTCACAAAAAAAATCTTTTCTGATTCCATTTTAAATAAATTTTATAATCTTATTTTAAAAAAAAAGTCTTTTATTCTGTCCTTATGTACAGATGTCACGCAAAAACGTCGTTAAATTGCATTCAGTTGCGGTAAACGTGGATATTTTGGTTGAAATATGATATCCGGAATTTTTCATGATTACAATACTTCCTTTACGTCGTACAAAGAAGTAAAAACTGTTTTCGTAACAATAACAAAGTGTCTTTTAAGATAAGAAGTAAAAATCTGTTTTCTCGTCAAACAGAGCAAAAGCAGTCAGTGATGCATAATGCTGATTACGAGTATATTGATAGTTACTGTTTAATCTATCTGATAATCGGTGAATCAAATCAATACAATTGCAAAAACCAAATCAATGCAATCATAGATATAAATAATGGATTATATTTATATGATCAATTAAAGGAAGGTACTTCATTCTAATGTACGTATGAACACAATGAATACAAACATCTCTTACATTGTGTACTCTTATATTCGTCATGAATTTAGTCTCAATGGTCATTTATGAATTTGACTTTTGTTTTAAACTCTATTTTGATCGGTTACCTATGCTATTTCATTTTAACGATTTTTCGAAGTTAAGCATGTAAGGATCTTAAGTTTTACTAACGTTTATTTTATTTTAAATCTTTACTATCACTTCTTATTTTCTACTTCCGGCCAGAATTATAAGCGTTAACTTATTTATGCAAATTTGTGTGGCGACGCCAATTATTTAATGTGGCTTTGCCAAGCGATAGAGAGAAGAGTGTCGAAGCAGCCCTACCTTAAATTTTTACTCGTTGTGGTTGCCTCCAGGCCAGAGTTTAATCCTCGGGATAATTTAAACGTATTGTAGTGTAACAGTTCTCGTACACATACGCTTCCTGTTATATCAGGCAATTCCACGTTATAGTCCAAAGTTAAGTAGATTTTAGTTATATTTTTATTCTACGTGTAGACCACAGTAGTGGGTCTTTTATTCCTAATACGAAATTATTGAAAGAGAAAAACAAAAGGTTTGTATACCCTTCTGTGTATCTGTACTTCCCACAGTCATTGAACATAGCTTTAGTAAGCTCTCTGTTCCGAGTCAGGTCCTTGCATGTTCCCGAAGAAAGTAAGACGGAACATTGAACCTGATAAGCAGATGGTCTGAAAATCTTTCAACAACCACGGAAACAGTAACAAAAAGTGCAGCAACCGATAATTTCATTATTCGTTTTTTGGTTAAAAGAAAATTAAATGCTCAAAGGGCATTATAAAATACACAGCTATAATTAAAATTGTTGGATGCGGTAATTAGTACGAGATATTATGTAAGAGCGCCAATTAAAGGCTTAAGTAGTATATACATTAAGAGTAGTACCACATGCAGATATTCCACACAATTTTGTTGTTTTTCAGAGACTGCAACGTAGATATATTCCTTTGCATTACTACGCTACATATGAAAATGTCCAGATTACCAAAATAACCATAAAAGACTGTCGCATGATTTGTCATCCCGTCTGACAGTCGCGTTACAACAAAAGCAAAAGCCGAAATAAAAATATTTATTAACATGTCGACTTGAGTATTACATAAACCGAAATTAACCGTAACAAAACATCCTCTTGCTTCCAGGCAACATAACAACTTCTCAGCACAAATTCCAATTAAATCCAGTATCAGCAAAGCTTTTCAACTAAAGCCAGACGAGAAAGCGGTTAGTGACGTTGACTACCGCCCCGAAGAGCCTGTGTTCGAATCGTCATGGGTGTACATTTTTTGTCTGTTCCTTCAATAGAAGGCAACGATTGCCCACCTGTCAGGTGCCTCCAAGTGACTACCGCTTCCGGCCTTAGTAGTGGCCAACGCCCGCCACTAAAGACAAAAAATCAGCAAAGCCTAATTTCTAATCTAAATACCGGCTCATTTCATTCGCGAAGTAATCAATTCAAATTATTCGCGAAGAATGAGAGCGGCAAATTGCAGCCAGCAAGCTAATGCAAATAGCTGAAATTCAAAGTAGAATAACAGCCAGCCTCAGCTGTCAAATGCTCGCTAACAAATTTTGAAACAAACTCTTATTTATACTTTAAGTAAATTTGCGCTCTGGTAGAAACTGATCAAAGTATACATAGCTAAAATAAAAAGATAATTGGTAAATTAAAATGAAAACAGAAACATAACCCCATTAACTAATTTTAATTTTTACCGGCGAACTAATCTAAAACTTTTGATATGTGTCCGTACTTCAAAAAGTCATGGAAAATAAACAACTGTAGATTTTCACTTTTCTACAGGCCATAACTATGGCCTTAAACTCCTTTTTTCTATCCTTTCTGCAAGATTTATGACCACCAAGTAGAACTGTATTGGGTCCATCATCTCCGCTGCCATAGTCATTTCAGTCAAAAAAAGCAGGAAAAAAAGCACTGGAAAGGCTTACAAATTTTGCTCTGGACTCATTATTTTTTATATTTGATTATTGTTTCAACTTTTTTATTTGTTTTCTTTTAGTTAGATATTTTAGTACCTTTTTATTGGTACTTTTGCTTATAAAACACGGCAATGGAAATAAAAATTGTGTTCTTGCATATGTATATTGTATTGGATTAATATACTAAACTACATCAAAGATCAGCATGATACGTGCTTGCAGGAAAAGACGTTTTCATGAAAAAAATGTTTAATGGAAACTGACCCATGTTTACGTTACCTATGAAGAAAATTACGGAAATTTCATGTAGTTATATCGTAGGGAGATGCAGTCGGCTAGCGAACAGTGCTCGGAACGAACTACTGATCATACTTTATGGTTTGACAAATTTCGTCTCCATAAATACAGTGAAATCTCTCAGTCCATATATTCCTTGAAAACCTGAGCTCTTATAACGAGGAATCAATCAAAACTGCTAACGAGAATTCTGAAAGTGACCAGCATTTCTTAAGATCCCTTCCAGAGGTTGTTCAAAGAGGAAGAGAAGAAGACCTCCGGCCCATTCCAGTAAGGGCCCTCAATCAAAACTCGGATAGACCAAATTCAGTGGCGGATTCTTACAGTCGACAAGCTAGTCGACAATCCAGTTGATCGGCCACACAATCTTCAGCGCAAAACTATTTCTTATGAAGCATAAGCATCACTAATGTCCTTGACTTCTTCAAGGGTTCACCTCAGATGACCAAATCGTTTGGAACCACGGTTGGTTGTCTTTTCAATTATTAAGAGGTATTTCGATCGGTCTATTGAGGATTGAAAGTGTAACTTCCAGCTTTATACTCATGTGTCCCTCATGGTTTCAGTAAAAACTCTCTTAATGAAATGACACGATATGCGAACTACAGTTTTAAGGCCTATGATAAATCTTATGATATACGTATTCAGTTTAACAACTCTAATAGTTAAATAAACTATTATAGCAAATATAGCATCATTGCAGTTATATTAATTAAGAAGTATAGATACTATAATTAAATATCATAATTCCTATTTATGAAAAATCATTGCTGTGTTCAAGTTAAAACAATATTATGTATTGTCATTTATAATTTTCATCTGAGTATGATATATCAACAAATATACATACTTCTGCTGTTCACACTTCTCGTACGTTAATCACATTTATTTAAAATATTTTAAAATAATGTATTTTCTCAAATACCGCTTGCTGATTATTATGTATTGAAAGTCTGGACCGGATAACTTAACAGCATAAATTTCTTCTTTACATACCGTATTTATTTGCGCATTCCACACACTTTTTCTATTAATTTTACAACCTAAAAATAGTAAGAAGAAAATTACGCGGTGTATATTATTTCTAAAGAGACATTTCCAGTAAGGGCCCTCAATTAAAACTCGATTGATATGACAGAAAAATGATAAAGACAGCAAATCATAAATATTAATATTAAAAAACATATTAAAAAGCATACATGCATACTAATATTGTTATATGATGTGTTTCAGTTATTACATATGTGTATCAATTTCAATAACATTCATTTCACATGTACAATACACTTTTTTATTCGTGTGTATATCTTGAATTGTTGCCATAAATAAGAAGTTTCTAAATCCTATGCTGAAAAAACTATTGGAAAAATATGCGAGTAAGCACAATAATTCATAATTTATGTGTGCGCAAAATAAAACTGCTTCGTTACAAAAGTTGTTCGCATATTTTTAGACGATTTTGCATTGCTATAAAAACAACCGCCTGCTTGGAAAAGAACTTTTAACTGCAACTATATTTTTGAAAGTGTTAAATTATCGTCTGCTACTTGATAATTTTGTTTTTATGCAAAATGGCACTTTTAAAAAAGCAGTGGACGGAAAACTATGTTTGTACTCTTTCCGAAGAAAATTATTCGTATTTAGTTATTAAAAATGCAGTGAAAGCCCCGGTTTTTGGGTATCTAAAGCAATAATAGATAAAGTCAAAATTTGGCTGCATGGAGAAAAACTGTTCAAATTACATATCCAAGATAAAAACGGAATATTTCGAATGTTGCAATGGTAAGAACGTATCTTAAAAGACTATATTAGACTTAAATACAGTGAAAATCGTCTAAAAGTGTGCTAACAGCATTAGTATTCTCTCGCAGAAACGTAGTGTTTTACATACCTTGGGAGCCAACTGAACAGAAAAAGTTTATTTATCAATTTAGCCAAAGGTTTGAGGTATGGCCTCAGTCGCTTCAGCATGTGAGCCTTGAACACATAACTGTATAATGCAAAGAAGTACGCAATAGCGGTAATTACAGTGAGGAATTTGATCCCATCGCAGAAGGAAGACGCCTCGTCCCACGTAGAATATATGGCAAACGCGAAGTACACATTGTACAGCAAGAATAAAGCCACCTGCAAAAGAGAATTATTTATAGAAATCTTTTGGCATAAATACATTGTTAAGTGTTATATTGAATATCATACGAATTGCAACTAGAAATAGGTAACGCAGACAGTGCACTATTAGTACATTTTACTATGTAAAATTTATCAGATCCACTGAATGTTCACCATGTATACAAAATATAATTATTACATTATCAATAGCATTCAGGTTCATAATTAAATCACGTTTTAAGGAGTTTTCTGTAATAAGAAATGATTAAGGCAGCTAAAAATAAATAAGCTTACGCTTAATAACTGTCAGATGTTCTTAGAACCGGAGTAAGCAGCTGGAATGTAGTCTCCAAGGCTAATAAGCAACAAGATACATGAAAAATAAATTCCGAGGAATGTCAAAGTCTGTTGTATTTAAGAATGACTTAATGTACATCGAATGGTTCGAAACAAGTAAAGGTACAGCATTGAAGGGAAAATGGGCATCTACTGACATCACGAAAGTTACGGCAGTATGTCATAAGAATGGCTTAATGTACATCGAATGGATCGAAAGAAGTAAAGGTACATACATAAATCTAATATATATCCTAAGTCGAAGATACCTACATAAATCTAATATATATCCTAAGTCGCGCTTTCGAGATATGGAAAACACAAATTAAATGTTGATAATTGGTCCAGTAGAACAGGAGATATAGAACTGTACTTTTTTTTTTTCGCGGTGTACATAGAATAGATTAGCCATAGAAATGAAGGGAAAGTGGGCATCTACTGATATTACAAAGGTTATAGCAGTAAGTCATAAGAATGGCTTAATGTACATCGCGAAAAAAAAGTTCTATATCTCCCGTTCTACTGGGCCGATTGATGAAATTCAAATTGCGTTCTTCACGTCTCGAAAGCGCGACTTAGGATATATATTAAATTTACACATGCATTGTTCTAACATAGGTATTTTGACACAAATTCGGACTTTTTCTGAAATAACATACCAATTGTTTTCCATTTGTCGATCCTTAAATTATGCCTAAATTTTGTAAAATATGGTGCGAAATTTATGGAGAAATTCAAAAACTTATCTTGGCGCATTTCTTTCAGTTTGCGCCCAGAATAATTCATTTGGCGAATTCCTTAATGTATGGCAACCTATTTTCCTTTTTCTTCCATTGTGCAGGAGCGGGAAAAAAGTCATATCGTTCCTACATTTTTACATTGTGCATGAGCAGAAAAAAAGTTACATGTTCCCATTTCAAATAGTTCTTAACAAAGTGCCTAAACCACATTTGATGATTATCGCTTTAATAAATATTCCAAAATTTCCACGAGCCAAAATATAAATTCACGTATATTTCATTCAGAAATTTTGAATAAAAACCGAATTATTTGCCAAAGTATGCTTAGAAATACATCCACTTTAAGATCATGGTAAAAGTTTTATAAGTTATAATTCAAAATTTGTTTCAAAAAAATTATAAAAATTATTTAAAAATAAATCATAAAAAATGGGCGAATGTTATTTGGGATGAAGCTAAATTTGGAAATGTGAAAGGAAGAATGAAATAAATTTAATAAAAAAAGAGATATTAATAAATATATACCAAACTCAATTAAAATTGAGGAGCTAATTTTTTAAAAACTACTCGAACAATGTTTTCAAAACTTGGCAGTTTGGCGTAATGTGAGTTGTAGAATTGAAATATGGAAAAAGATTGCATGTCATTTCAGAAAAAGTCCGATTTTGTGTCAAAATACCTACATAAATCTAATATATATCTTAAGTCGCGTTTTCGAGATATGGAAAACACAAATTAAATGTGGATAATTGGTCCAGTAGAACAGGAGATATAGAACCGTACTTTTTTTTTTCGCGGTGTACATAGAATAGATCAATAAAAAGAAT